TCTCTTATTTCTATATTATTCCTATCGCTATACTATCGCTATTGCCTGGCATTGTGTTTAGGCCTTAAAGCCGAAAACACAATGACTGTTTTCCTTTTAGGAGACACAAATCGACACAGTATAACACAATCGACATAGTTTGCCACACTTAAATGGAACGCGATGTATGCAATGTGTCGTGTGCAAAGCCAAGTCCGGATCTACAATAGGTGTTTTATGCCTTATGCCGTAATAAAGGCCCGTCTACAATACACGGAGTAAGAAATAAGAGTAAGAAATTGACCAATCACAGTCGATTATTCTTCTCACATTCGACTGTGATTGGTCAATTTCTTACTCTTACTTCTTACTCCGTGTATTGTAGACGACGCCTAAGAAACTGATCAATTACAGTCGAATCCGAGAAGAATAAGCAACTGTGATTCGCCCATTTCTTATGGCTTAAGGCTTAAAACCCTATTGTAACCCCGGATCTACAATAGATGTTTTTAGTCTTAAGCCGTAAAAAATTGACCAATTACAGTCGAATCCGAGAAGAATAAGCGACTATGATTCGCCCATTTCTTATGGCTTAAAGTAGTGTATCAAATGTGATCGACAAAATGAGAGAGAGGAACCGTGGGAGACGGCCAATTTCCCTCTCATTCTCTCTCCCATTACACCATTGAATGAAAAGAGATAGAAATGGCCGTCTGCCACGCTCACTTTCGGGAGGGCTCCGATTGCACACATCTCATATTGCACACATGTACCGCTGATTGGCCAATTTAAAAATAAAATAATCTCATTGACAAAACAGTGAAAAATTACTAGGCACCAGTTGATATGAGTGGTGTGTACAATCAGAACTGTAGGCAAACGAGATCCTCCCGTCACTTTCTCTCATCCCTATCAACCATTTTGACACATGGATCGCGCAGTCCATTCTCTATTGCTTTGATCGTGTGTACGAACTTTTAATACCTAACCTTAAAAGATTTGAATTTTGACCTTAACGGACACACGAGATCCGATTATTGCAAGGAGTGATGTGCATATTTTCGAGTAAAAGTATATACTTTGTATCAATTGATGGAGATATTCCAAAAAAAGATTTAACATCTTACAAATTACACAAACTTTTTAATATTATTCTTAAACTTTACAGGTATTTATAAATATATATTGTATATCCAAATTTTTATCAGATAAAATGTATTTTAAAAATAAAGTTTATTATTATTTTTATTACTTTTTAAATAAAAAATATAAAAATAATAATATAATATTTGAAGGAAAATTAACAACAATGCAGTGTTTATCATTTGTCGATTTTAGGATGCTTCCGATAACCCAAGTTTGAGTTAGTTCCACTAGGACTGAAAAATATGATAGATACAACCACCTAGTACTTTCATGGTTCATGACAACTCAACGCTGTCTTGTATGCCATGTGTAGAGGAGGAGTGAGAGTGGCGCTGTGTATAGAGAACGTGCGTGCTTTTGTCGCGGTGCTATTTTCGGTGATTTTTCCGTGTGAGTGCGGGTTACGTGGCTTTGCGGTAGCTGTG